GAATACTTTTTTTTTGTCGAATTGTTTTAGCCCAAATCGATCAACACGAAGTCGATCGATTCGGCCGTTGTTGAGACATGAAAATCTTAACTTTGCAGAAGAACTGGCCGACTCGCGTAAAAGAGTCACGGGATCCGGTCTCGCTTCGCGTGAACTTGGCGCGAGCCACTGCCGTGCCTCTTGATATGTATATTGCGTATGCAATTTTGCGTGCGAGGGAGGCCAGACGATGTCGTTGTCACAACGTAAATTGAATTCTTGTCTGGTCTTGCGCGTTTGTCGTTGTCTTTCTTGTTCCCAGACGGGTTGTGCGAGAAACCGCAACCGTCGCCAAAACAACGCGCGCCAACCGGCTTCGTGGAGAGGAGGCGGAAATTGCACTTTACGAGACAAAGTAAATGCCCGGGCCGGTCATCAGCGATACGCGACGGAGAGATATACATACGCGCAGGGGTCGAATTAATTTATCTGCTCGCTGTCGGATTAGTCTCCGGCCATTCGTTACTGGTGAGCGATTCGCGCGCGCAAAAAAAGCGTTCCCGCCGCTCTTTCTCTCTCTCTCTCTCTCTCTTTCTCTAACGATTCTAATTCCAGCGATTTGTAATGGGATGAAATATGGATCTCTATTTTAGAGACGCGCGAAGAGATAATTCGCGGAAGAGCAGCGGCAATCCTGAAGAGATTAAGCTGAAGAGAGACTTGAACCGAGAGAGCGGGTAAAATAAGACGCACTTCCGCCAGTGACAAGTTACTAACCATCCTGGTGAAACGATATGGAAATATCGGTATTTATGCTCCGCTAAACTTCAAGCTAAATCTGTTCCACTCGCGGTGCTAATTTGAGTGTAATTTGTGATAAGATGTTACGGCAACAGATTTGTTTTTGGAAGAGCGAGAGAATATAGTTTTGTGCAAGAATCGCGTCAATTCTGTGTGATAAAACTTCAATATAAAAATTGCATATAGATATTTTATACAATTAATTCGATAAAGAGAGAGATATATATATATATTGCAAAGATAAACACAAAGCAAATAGATATTGTTTAAACTCATTAAATATCGCTCCCCAGTATTCTTATCATCATCGATATATTAACGAATTTATCTCTGAGCATCTCTTATCTCCTCCGGATACTTCACCGACGAATGTTAACGGACATCTCGGAGTACACCGCTTCGGTTGCTGCACGCGCGCTTCGCTAAATTTCGACGAGCTGAAAACCCTCACGGCTTGAAATTTCGACCCGCCGCCATTTCCGGCCGTCACTAAATTCCCGCGACGATACTGTCACGGAAAATACGCCACGCGCAGTCGTACCGTCTCGTTACGAACTCATACAATCAAACCCTCGTACACCAAACACACACGAATAGCAGCCCCCCCGGCGGCGAACGCGCTCTTTAATGAGAATTGGTGCCGATGTGCACGAACTCGGTCCCTTCCCGGAGGGCCAGAGGGTGAAACCAGCTGCCACCCTTAATAGGGAGGCGGAAGATATCGCTGTATTAACTCGAGGCGATGAAAAGCTCGTGCCTCGTGGCGGCAAGTAGGCCAATCGACGTGTTTTATTTTTTGCGAGAGAAAAGAGAGGGCGCACAAAACCAATGAAATTAACAAGCCACACACACACACACACATATTTCTCTTTTAGCTATTTTATTTCATTCAAATGAAAAAAAATGGCAAAACCCAGTAAAACGATCACAAAATGATCTCGCGAGTTCAAACAGCTGACCAACGTAGCTTTTTCATAATTTTGATAGAAATTTAAATTAATCTGATTAGAACGCAATGGCCGAATAACAAAGATTTGATGAAATAATAAAAAAAAAAGTAATACGCAGAAATAAAAAGAAATTTTCTCGTGAAAAAAAAAAACTACGTTCAGATTAATCGAAAACTTTATAGCTATTCTTTCTTCGAAAGTAAGGAAGATAATATGAGTAAAATAAACTCTGAATTCGTTCGATTTACCCAATTTCAAGTACGCTATACTAATATCGATAAATTGAAACTCTTCAAAAACATAAAAAAAACAACATTACGAATTATTGCAAAAAGCTTAATAATAAATTTTCGAGAAAAAAAAACTAATTTATCAAATAAATTGCCTGTTTTATTTGCTTCGTTTTGTCACGTTTATCGCGATAATTAATTACGCGATAAAATATTACACAGATAACTCATTAGCGTCATTATTCGAGTGAATTTTACACACATTTAATCGTCATGAAAATCAAATTACCTACGTATTGCGGCAAATTCAATTTCAAAGCCCGCAATAATAAGTATACGGAGTACAAACGAACAAATGACCCCTCCCACACTGATCCTATTAACACGTTTACACAGTTATTAATTAATCATCGTTGGATGTGGACAATTAGCGAATTTCAATGCAATAAATACAAAGTTTACATATCACATCTCTCTTTCTCTCTTTTTTCCTTTCTCTCTCTCTCTCTCTCTGATGAACTTAATTGTACCACAGCAGCTTTTAGCCGCTTTTACCCGATGTGCAAATTTACGATCCGCCGACCGACCGACCGACCGACCGTCTCGTCGTAATTGCATTGGGTGGCAAAAACATAAGGGACATATGTGACTTTATGAATGAGATGTCTCAGGAGCTTGGGATACGCACGTCACGCGGCTAAAAACTTTCGGTCTCGCGACACGTGTTTCACATATAAGTACAAATCCAGTGTTTTTACTTGTGCAAAGCTTGATTTGAGCAGCCAGAAGAAAGATGTGCAATTTTATGCCACTCCTGTCTATTATTAGCCATCACGCAAACGTGTATATACTATTCAAAATGTATGTAAGACTCTCTCGCTTGAGTTTCTTCTCACAATAAAATACTAAACGCAATAAAGAAATGTAAATATTTTAAGTTAAAAATTGCAGAACTATTGTAACAAAAAAAAATATATATATATAGATAAAATCAATGGAACGTGATACAAAGTTTTCATATTATGCTTCCAACTAACAAAGCAACGTTCTCTCATATGCCGCGTGGTTCTAACAAGTTATTTGAATTCGAATGTACGAGGAAAAGTGTGTTACCAGAATATCCCAGTATATTCGAGACGGCTCGCCATTTAGAATAGCTTTATTTCGGCGTTAACACGTGCCGTTACTTTGATCAACATGCGTAGCAATCTCGCGCCTGGCTTTACATGACACACAGGGTGTCGTATTAAGCAGCGAGCGCGTTCAAAGCGTATAAGCGCAACTCGCGGCTAGCCTCATAAACCCTGGATATTAAATTATTTCTCGCGCTTGACCACATGCCACTGACGTGTATTGCCGCGAGAACGTGCAAATCCAACTTGTACAACGCACGATGGTTAGTCGCGCGCTTCTGTGCGAACGAGGCTCGCGCTCCCAACCACGTGAGAACATTGCTGACGTTCGAGAGATCAATTGCGCCATGTATACGGAACACCGTATATACCCCGTACATACACGTACAGTTCGCGAGAGCCCCGCAGGCATCGAATTCGATTTTCGTCGACTCGAAACAAACGAAATTGCAGGTCTGAACACGCGTGTGGATTTCATCTACCGCCGTATTTCGACGCTTTCTATATGTATGCGCGTATATCGCCAAAAGGTATATTTAATACATACAGTGTTGAGAGAGGATATAAAATAAAAAAAAAAAAAAATTAAAACTGGAAAAATTTTCCCGAAATGTTTGCTCTCTCGTAACTCTGAGAAATATACGAAAATATATGGCAATATTTTTGCAATTCACTAGAATTAATTGTTCCGTGTAAACAAATTTGAATTTCTGGTTTTTCGCGTATACAGTTCAATAAAATTAAAATTGTTAGTATAAAATGTATAATATTCCATCACAATTCACTGTGTGACCATAAAAAAAAAATCAAAACTTTGTGACACAATTTCTCTTTTCCATCTCTACTTTAAAAAATAATTTCTTTTTTTTTTTGTACTAGACGTAAACATTTTTCATCGAATTAACTTATATCACTATAAATATTGAAAGAAAAACCTACTAAAAAAACTAAAATATTATTTTAATAAGAAAACGCTTAAAAGAATCAGCCTTAAAATAAAATAAAATAAAGCGCTTTGCTTTCTCTATCAAGTAGTTTTGCCCCGTACTTGATTCCTGCCGACTAATAAAGTCGGCACGATAGGCGTCCATTAAGACGTTATTACGGCTTTCCATAAATCATGGGTCTTCCCCGTCAAATCCCTGAATAAAGGCATACAAATGAGAATGCAAATAAGTGTTCGGGTGCGTCGCCCTTCTTGCTATCTTCATAATTCAAAAAGACACGAGTCCTTAAGACGCAGCCGGCATCCTTTGTGTGACGACACATCCCTACCCGCACACGAAGATTTTGCCTTTTCTTTCGCGTTCACACCGCGGCGTCGTCAAACCATGCGCGCTAGAATCCGCAAAGCGAGTCGATTGTTTCTCTTTATGGGTCTACGTTAATTTAGCGGCTAAAAGTTGCCAGTATTTCCGTCACACCTGACCCAAAATCATTTATTCATCCAACCATCAATTTTCCGAATTAACCCTACCTATGAAAGTAAAAAAAAAAAAAAAAAAAAAACTAAAGTCTACATTACGTAAACTACTCTTATGTAAACAAGGTCAATTCCCGTTGTGTTTCGCGAGAAATAAAACCATAATTTTCTACTTTTTGTTTCACGTTACAATATTCATTCTCCCGCGCGTTACAAAACTTTCTCCCTCCCGAGAAACTACGGTATAAGCTTCAAATTATCATATTTCGAAGCTCGAGCTATTATGTGTGAGATCATATTATATTTTACTCTCGCGGAGTTTCTGTGAAGTTTTTTAACCAGAAATTGCATTTTAAACCAATTGCCCCCGCTCGACAAACCGGGCAGTAATTTCGTACGGCGAAAATTCTTTCTCTAAATCTACAAACGATCCGAAAAGAGCAAACAAATTTTTGTTCTGCGTTTGGACTTAATTATATCGTACCTGAGACTTTTACCTGTCGGCGAGTATTGTGTTGAAAAGTTAAAAGCGGATTCTTACGAAGGCCGACATCAAAGACCGCCTAAGACGACAACGCGACGATCCTTCCAAAGACGACCGCCTCGTGGCGAGGACGAAGGAGGAAAACCATGAAAGCGCACGACCCGACTCGTTTAATAATGTCGTCTCGTAACACCGCATAATTTTTATCCCAGTCACACGAAAACGAATATAATTAGACGGAATAATATCCGCGTTTACAGGTGAATAGCGAACGAGTTGAATGAGTCACGGTTTGCAATATTGTCACCCGAAGTCTTACTCACTGCTGTTATCATCTTTTTTTTAAACTACTGATAAGCGCCGACGGAAACAACAGAACAATGACGCACACACTTCGAAGACGCTTCAAAACACGTGACTCCATGATGTTCGAGGACGCGTAGATGTGTCGAGACCAGAGCTCAGAGCGATTTGTCGTCTTGAAGAAGGTAAAACAGAGACGGCAGAAGTTCGAAAGTGCGACATTTACGACAGTCCGGGGACTATCTGTGCGAATTTGACCGATCGTAAAACTGCCTTATGCATTTTCATCGCGAACATAAACGCGAATTTAAGAGAGCGAATTTCTTCCGGCCGTCTCTTTGTTTTCGCGCGTTTGTTTCGAGTAAAAACCCCCGGTACTTTTGTTTTCGGAACGTAAAATGGCGGGAATCGATATGCGTTTCGCGTCGTGACTTATTCGGCTGGTTCGGCAGTTTCGACAGGAAAAATAGGCGTTCTCGAACGAGAAGGGAGAAACAACGCAGTGGATATATCCTGCGAAGGATACGAAGACGAACGGGAAGAGTGTATAAATGGATGTACAAACGATCCGCCGAAATTACCTACGGGTTACCTTTTCCATCTCTCTTTCCGCTTCTATTTTGCTCCGCGCTTTTCCACGAAGACCGAATTTCGCGGTGCGGGTTATTCATTACACTATTTCGAAAGGTCCTAAAGTAGCGGTCTTCCCTTTATACGACGAAATAATCAGAAGTCGTTATAGCAATTATGTGGAATTTATGACGACAAATGGAAGCACACACAAGTGTTCGTAAAAAAGTCAAGAGAAATAAAGGAGAAACATATATATATATATATATATATGTGTGTCCTATATATATATATAGGACGGTGTTTCAAATTATGTGGGTAATCATGCCTTTTATTTTTGTGATTTATCTTTTCTCCCGGCAATTTCAACTGAAATTTGTTCTCTGACAGCGCAAGAAATTTTTATCTCAGTGTGTCTAATTAAGCACGATCAATATTTTACAGAAGAAATGTCACTCTAACCGATTCTTGCTATTGTTCCGTCTAAGAGTTTCAAGATTACGCGCTCGTTAAGCTTCATACGTCTTTCGCGTCCCTCTAAGTAGCGTTCTAAATACACAAGCAGCCATTTTAGCCTATCACCGTCTTCGTCGGACGGTCTTCTCAAGACATCGTCGTCGTAAAAGCCTTCCTGCACCGGAAATGAAAGCGCCGCGCGATTCTTCTTTCTCTCCCTCTCGACCTTCTCGAAACATCACACGCTTCACACAATTATTTCCCCCGATATTTTTTACCTCTCGTTTGTGTGCGTGTACTCGTGTACGTGTGCATTTTATTATTTCGTCCGATATTTTTTTTTTTTTTTTTCGCGTCCCTCCGGTATATCAGCGATTTTATTGACGAGGCAAGCGCGCGCGAAGTCGTTCCAATAAAACTGGTGTGAAATATCGATTACACAATGGCGTTATTATCACCCGGTCAGAGACTCGGTCAAGCGGGGGTTCTGTATCGACAGAAACGAGGTCGAGAAAAGAGAACATGTAAAATTCTATGTCGCGGTATATATATATGAGGCGAGTGTGTATTTTAAAAACACACACGCTAATAGTTTTCGATACAAGATGCACGTAACGCTCAGAAATTATCGCAAAAGAAAACTTTTAAAATAAAAATTTTTATAGTCTCAACGCGATCGCGTCACAAAAGAATCGCAGACTTGCTCTCGAGCCCACACACGCCTGGACGCCGTAAAATCATATGCATGTAGATTGTGTGTACGCACACTGGACATCGGATACAGGAAAGAGTGAGAAAAGATCGACGGACACAAAAGCAGGACGGAAAAACCGTGGATGGATATTGATTCGCCGCGGCGGCGTCCGCAGGAGTAAAGAGAGTGATCAGTCGTGAAAGTCGATGAACCGTGGCGAGCCGTGTGCGCGGGCGGTGCCTAACAACGTAACGCTTTTTACGGCCGGAACTTTCATAACTCGCGTCGCGTTACGGTCGGAAAATGCTCGGGGAAACGTTACGCCTATGCGGTGTATCACGTAAAGTCGAACGAACAAACTCTCGCGGAGGGAAAAGTTTTGATCTTTCCGTCAACTCTCGATCCGCGATTTCAATTGCATCGCTTCCATTTGTTCTCGTCATAAATTCAAGTTTACTTCTTACTTTAGCTTCTGCCACAACTTCAAAAATATGTGAAAAAGTTTTTCTTTTTATATATTTTGGAACACACAATTGTTAATGTTTTCGAAGCGATATAGAATTCAAAATCACATGACAATAAATTTACGCGAATATATAAATAAAAAGAAAATAAATAAATAAATAAATATTTGCGCGATCCATTTGTCTTATGATAAAAGTTACGACGCCTGTCTCGCAGCATTTTCGTCGCACTATGAGTATTTTACGACGTCCTATGAAAAAGGCTTCGTATCAATCGCACGTCGCTCGTTTCGTTTTTATTTATATCATTCTTACACACACTCGATCTCTTCAGCATTGAAAAATCGCCACCGTATATCATTTTCTTGAGAATCGATAATAAAATAAAAATAGGATACAATCGTTCCGAGTATTGACAGGTTTCGCCGCGACGCGCATCGATAAATCGCGCGGCGCGGCTCACGAAACTATCAAGAAGCTCGAAGCGGGAAGAAAAAGCGGAAGTGGATCGAAGAGAAGCACGGGAATTTCTCAAGAAAATTGCAGCGAACGCTCGACAATGGCGACGCGAAGAGAAGAGAAGAACGATATTCGGGGAAAAAGGTCAGCGATTTACGGGCATCCATCGACGTCGAGAGTTAAAGCGGTCAGACGGAGAGGTATCCTGCCGCGCGCGCGCGCGGCATTCTGGCGGAAGGTCTCTTCTTGTACTGTGTGTGGCTATGCGGAATTCAAGTCCCCGATGACCCTCCCCGCTTGCCTACGTCAACCTATTCTTCTTCCCGGTCCTTATTTTGACAACGGTGGTGAAATTCATCGCGGTCGTTCGCCAGGAAGTATCAGGAGGCCCTTTTCCTCCCTCTCTCCCTTTTCCTCGTCCTTAATCTCGTTCCTGCAAAATGCGTCTCCATTTCCGCGGGATGAATGGAGATTCTTGGCCGGAGTAGAATAAGTGGAAGGGCACGCGATAAAACAATTCCCTGGACGGCCCACGACTCGATTTATCGAACTGTTATGGTGCGCGCGAGGAAAATCCGACAGCGATAAAATGATCGCCGACGAGAGTATATTTTATGAAGAGAACGTTCGCGAGATATCGGACGTTGGATATCGGTCGGATGTGTTTTGATTATCAATTTACGAGAAGCCGAGTAAATTGATCGCGGATTGTTACAGGTGTTAAATAAAACAATCCTTCAATGTTCCGTGAATTTTTGCAGCAAAATATTATACGTTTTCGAATTGTCGTTTTTTTTTTTTTCTAAATTAGATTTGCGATGTCTTAAAAAACAATTTGCAAATTATATTATATATTTCAGATAAAAATAATGCTTTTTTTTTTTAACAATGTTATATAATAGCCAAAACACTGCACGTTGATGAACGCACTACATGATTTCGTCAAGCTTTCCAGAGGCTATTAATTCTCGAGGGACTCTATTGCTTATAATTACGCTTCGCCGAGAGGCATTATATCCGCAGCGTAACACCCGCTTTTTCTACCCTTTTTCGGACGAGTTCGTCGGACCTTAACAAAGGATAATGTCAGCCTGGGCGATCGCTCCTGAGCATTAGCAATTTTACCCTGGGCTCTCTACACATCATTTATTTACGCCGTATATTAAATCCTTTCGAAATAATTATTTTCACGGTTTTAACTTCACACGTGACTATTTGCCTCTCTGACTAATTACTTCGCGATGAATCACGATAAAGTTTCGTCGAGTTAAGGCAATTTGCGCGTATAATAAGATATATATTTGTCGCCGTGCTCCGCCGCAAATAAATCGCAAATTGTATAAAATACTACCAACTGATTTAATAACCGTTTGCAATTAACTGAAAACTGATTGCAGATTGCAAATTGACTTTATCAAATTATTAAATTTCATTTAATTATATGTAAAAGCAACGTAATTTGCAGAAAGTGCCGTTTTGTTTGCCGACATTCCTTAACGTTCAAAGAATTAATAGCACGTTCGATTAATATGAACGTGTACGAATCATAAAATATAGGTGGCGCGTATAAACTCAAACGGATCGATCATGCTGATGGCCTACTTTAATAATCGCCACGCTTGCTCGCGAGACACGCAAAGTCGTAATTCAACATCCCACCGCACACCTTGTACAATCAGGAACAAATTCGTGTTCGAGCAATTATTTAAGATTTGAAAAGATTTGAAAAGATCTTTAGAGTCGGAATATAATTCCCCCTTTCAGAATCACTCTGAAATTAATTAATTTTTAAAAAAACCAAATCATCGAGATCCTTGACATTTCATATCAAGTAATTTGTAAAAAAAGTAAATATTGCTCACTTTAAAAAAGAAACTCTTTTAAATTGAAACTTTTGCCAAAAAAAAAAAAAAACCAATCTTTATACCGGTTGTAAAATATGCAGAGATATTTTATAAGCGAGATTATATTGGTGTTTTGCCAATAATCCTCTCGCTCAAAAATGCTCAATCACTTGAAGAAGATTGAGAAACGAGAGGAAATGCAATGTAGGTTGTCTAAAAATTTTGGCAACGGTCATCATGCATTCCCCGAGCTTGGCAATTAATCAAGCTTGCAGACCAAACGGCCTAATGAAGTACGAGCATAATCGAACTGCCAGATTGCTAGACCTCTGCCCATTTGAAGACGGTTGAAGGAAAAAAAAAAATCATTCAATCTTTGTGATGCTTGTTAGCTGACGTGACTTGCAAATCGTAGAAAAAAACTCTTAATCGAAATTGTTTGTGTTTATAAAAAAAAAGAATTTTTATG